GGCATGCGTGTGGTGACAGTGTCTCGCGGCGGCATGCGTGTGGTGACAGTGTCTCGCGGCGGCATGCGTGTGGTGACAGTGTCTCGCGGCGGCATGCGTGTGGTGACAGTGTCTCGCGGCGTGCGTGTGGTGACAATGTCTCGCTATGGCGTGTGTGGTGACAATGTCTTGTGTTGCAGACGCGGCGTGCGTGTGGTGACAATGTCATGTGTTGCAGACGCGGTTGCTGACGACCAACGCCATCTCATTCCTGCCGCAAGTCGACCAGATCGTCGTCATGATCGCCGGCCGCATCTCCGAGGTGGGCACCTACAAGCAGCTGCTCTACAACAACGGAGCGTTCGCCGAGTTTCTGCGCAGCTACCTCACCAACCCGGACAATGAGGATGCGATCAGCGACTCCGAAGGTATGCGCGGCAGCGGCGGCGACGACAACGCGTCGATCGTCTCCTAACCGCATAACATCGATAGTTACGCGGCCGTCACAATCAATTATCCGAAATTCTGAAAACCGAAAAGCTCCGAAAACCGAAAGTTTTTTTGTGAAGGTCGTCTGCACACCAAAGCTTGCATTTGGCGCCAAAGGTTCACTGCAGAAGTATTAATGTGTTTGGCATTAGTCATACATATTGTACTGTACCGGTACAGCACTTGGCCTCTTGAAAACTTGGGGTTTAGTGCTGGCTAGTTGCAGGATATTCGGTACGAATATCTGTATGGTACTACAATTCCGAAATCCAAAAAATTCCGAATTCCGAAACGTGTCTGGTCCCAAGGATTTCGGTAATAGATTGTGTACTGTTCCACGTAACGTTGTAACCTAAAGATTAGTCTTCAAAGTTCACGGGACTATATCGAAGACCAAGAGTGTGAATGCGACCGCTACTGACAGTGGAAATCCCATGCTGAGGAGATGTAACTGTGTAACGGTTTTACTTAACCCAAATTAATTAAATTAAATTTATTAATTATTAATTTATTAATATATTAATTAAATATTTAATTTACATTTAAATTTAAATTAGTGTGGTTAATTAATTATACTGGTTTAGTTAAGTTAGAATTAACCCAGCCGAATTCACTTGTGTGCCTTTTATAGGAATATAGTGATGTACTCGTTACGAAAAGAACAATACTGGCGCAGACGTGATTTGTCAGTGATAAAGTGTCAATCTAGATGATAAGCTGACATCCTACATCAGTCTCAGGATGACAAGATTATGTATCACTGTTGGCATAGAAGCCACCGGCGCTACAATTAGTGAATGTCGACATATTGAGCGACAAATGTCTGCGTATTGTTTAACGTACAGTGACTTCGCCGATTTTTCTCACACCTGCGTACAATTTTCAGTCGATCATGAGGTTGTTGGAGAAATACTGGCTCAGGTTGCACCAGATTACACAAGGTACGTGTGGAGCAGTTTGCAAGTGCAAGCGCATTACTCATACTCTCGTGCTGTCTATGTAGAGTGTAGTCCAACAGCCGTGTGGCTCACCATCTGCGTAGGTGTGCGTAGGGCAAGTTCAGAGTCGGCCAGTCCATGGCTGCATTTCTACTAGTCGGTCTATAGATTTGTGTTTGAGAATTTATTTAATCAGAGTGTAAATTACATTTCTGCTACTTGGGGGCGTGGACTTGTGTTTGAGAATGTATTCAATTGGAGGGTGATTTACATTTCTGCTACTTGGTGTATAGATTTGTGTTTGAGAATGTATTTAATCAGAGTGTAAATTACATTTCT